GTAAAGACTGAGGAAAAAAGGCATTGAGTACCTTAGCCTTCTCCCTATCCCTCATGACCAGATCTCCTGTTTCCTTATGGAGGGGGCCCACATTTTCTTTAGTCTTCTTTCAATCAATAATATGCCTGTAGAAGCTTTTCTTGTTGCCCTTGAAGTCCGTAGCCAGATTTAATTCTATCTGGGCTTTAGCTTTCCTAACCTGATTCCTGGATGCTTGTACAGCTTCTTTGTACTGCCCCTAGGCTACCTGTCCTTGCAACCGCACTCTGTGAACTTTGTTTTTACAGCTAAATGTGTCCAGGAGCTCCTTGTTCGTCATACAGGTCTCCTGACATTATAGTCTGCCTTCCACTTTGTTGGGTCATATCACTTCTGGGCTTGGAGGAGGTGGTCCTTGAATATCGACCAGCTTTCTTGGGCCTCTCTCCCTTCCAGTGCTTTATCCCATAGTACCCTACCTCTAACAGATCAAAGTCTGCTCTCCTGAAGTTCAGGGTAGTGAGCTTGCTTTATACCCTCCTTGTTGCTCTAAGGATCCTGAATTCCAGTATTTCATGGTCACTTCAGCCAAGACTGCCCTTAAACTTCACCTTGTCCACCAGCCTGGTGATAACAAGGTACAGCATAGCACCTTTTTTGCTTGATTTTTGTGCCACTTGGATAAATGGTTGTCAATGCATTCTAGGAACCTCCTGAATGGCTAGTGCCTTGCTGTGTTGTCCCTCCAGCAGATACAGGAATGGTTGGAATCTGCCATGAGGCCCAGGGCTTGCAAGTGTGAAGCTGCTCCTAGTTGTCTGTAGAGGGCCTCATCTGCTTGGTCTTTCTGGTCAAGTGGCTTGTAGCAGACCTCCCAGTATTATGTCACCTGCCCCTGTATTCTGTTTAACCCTGATCCATAAGCTCTTGGTCAGCTCCTTATCCATCCCCAGGCAGAGCTTCATGGACTCCAGCTCATAACTGATTTAGTGTTTGGCACCCTCTTGGAGGTGTGTTTCTAGTTTTCTGCATTCCTGGGGAGAACACTCATTGGTAGTAAAAATGAAATATTTATGAGGTGTAGGGGGGAGTTTCAGTGTTAATCTGGGTTAGGGGAGCTGGAGAAGAAGCTGCTTTGGCTGATCTGCTCTTAATGTGCCTGTCAAACTTTGTCAGTGCACAGTGTTTCCCCCACCAACAAAAGCCCTGTGGCAGAAGGTGTGGTAGGAGCATGGTCACTTTTACATGCAAGTGCTTGATCTGTGAAGAGTCACATATGCTTGGCTTATTGAGAGCAGAGGGCGTGATGAGATGGTGTAGTAAACAGAAAGGTGAATTTGGTTATGTTAGATATAAGGAGGGTGTTTTAGTTTATTTCAGTTCTTGAAGTATAGGATGATCTATCTTTTAAAGCTGTGGAACAAAGCTATTTGTGAATCCTGTGAAAAAAATACCTAACTTCAGGAATTCAACAGGATGTCCAGCTTCTTCCCCCTGAAGTTCTTCTTTTGGAGATATACCAGTGTATATATGATAGTAAGTTTTGCTTTTAGAGTGGATGATATGCATGCACTCACCTCATGTTAAATGAATAAGGAACATACTCTAATTTATTTTCTGTATTTTTTCTTTCGTTGGTGATGATTGCTAGTTACCAAATAGTTAGATTACTCCGTTACTTTAGCTATGTGTGGTTTATCTATTTACTTCACAGTGCACTGAACCGTGGAGGAGTTGTGCTGTTGGAAGATGTGTGAAAGAAGGGGTTGGGGATTTTATTGTTGTTGTGTTTTTATTTTTTCTTTTTCTTTACAAGCAGGTTTTAAAAAGCATTAAGGTACAATATTTTTGTTTGCTGTGATGTTTGTATATGCTCTGTAGGTCAGGCTAATTTTCATAAGGAAGGTTTGTTCGTCTTGAAGAGAAGTAAATAATAGCCACTATATACAGCCAGGAATCCATAAGCTTTTGCTGATGGGCTGGACAAATGGAGTGCTTGGAGATCTCAAGCAAGACTGAGCTCTGCTTTGTGAGGCACTTTCTAAACATGTAGTGATAGTTAATACTGCTCTCAAAAGGTCAATGAGCACAATGGAGGAGATAAAAGCTGGGCCAAGAGGTATTTTCATTTTATGCTATCTTGTAAAATTGTTTTTCAAAGATGCACAGTAAAATGTGGAAGTGGTTGACAACTGTATTTTGCATTTAATTATGATATACATTTTATTATGAAATACAGAACACTCTTCTGCATTGTATCTCCTCAGAGTGTTTATTTTTATTGAAGTTGTGTTTTACCACACATACACAAGTCGTATGGGAGCTTTCTCAGTTCTAACAAGCTCATTCTGTATGCTGGCAACTGTCCTGTTAAGAATGATGTCTAAACAGAACCTTCGTTTTCAGCTGTTCCACATCACTTGAGTGAAATACTAATGTGTGAAGGTGGATGAAAAGGAAGCACAGTATTATGATGTCAGATTAATTTAATCTCAGCCTTTAGAAACCTTGTTAGTGCATTTTTAAGTACATAGATAGATTTCCTTTCCTTTGTAACTCTTGACATCACTGTTTCTGTCCGAGAACTGACACATCATTCTTTTTATTTTCATATGAGCAGAAAATCCAACTCTCTTGTTGTTTTTTTCTGGTATAAGCAGTGTACATTAAAAATAAGGTCTCTGGTGCAGGTGATTTTCACTGAACGCTGCTCTGTTTTGTGGCAAGAATCAAATGCAACAAGCAAAAATTCTCTGTTAAACGATATAAACGCATTATTATCTTACATACTGACTTGGTTACATGCAACTGTTTTACAACCTTTAAATAAAAAATAATAATTAAAGTATTTTAAAAAACATATCTTTCAGATAATTATTTTCTATGAAAGTATTTTATAAGAGATAGTATTTTTCCAGAAGAAGCAAAAAACCAAAAGATGTGGCAGGCAAAGTAGAGTACTTGACTGCATGCTTAGATGTACTACACACATTAGATGGGCTTACTGTCCTGTGCTCTACCCATATCCGGACAGTTAGTACACTACAAATCATAAAAATGGGTCTAGTTTTATAACCACTAACTGCAAAGGCTGTGTTCCAGACCTTTGTGCCCCAAATATTTTATGTTCTGTTCTTGCTTACAGGTGTGCGGACATACAGTAGATTTCCAGAAGTGGCCAGTTAGTTGCTGAAGGAAACAGAATACCACTTTTTTGAGTCAAAACTGATTTTTACATCTTCTTGATAGCTTTTTAGCTTCTGGTGCATTTTCTGTTAATAGAAATGTGGAGTATGATATCTGTAATAGTATAAGCAGTGGTGCTTTCTGGATGTAAGTAGTAAAGTCATCCTTCCTAGTATTATTGGTGAGAATTTATGGTGCGTATCTTGTATGTGCATGACTTATCTCCTACTGCTACCATAGCTTTTGAAACCTTAACACTCTAGAAAAATATTCTAGTCAGGGAAATGTTAGGCTGCTTATGTGTAGTTCCAGCTGGAAAAATAAAGTTATCACTTTGAGTATTAGCCAAAGTTCAGCCTGGAATTTGTAGCAGGTACTTTACCTGATGTTCCTCTGACTGTTTAGAAATGCTGTTTGTTAGTGCAAGGTGTTCTGTATTGTGTTTTAATTGGCCATCAGAAATAATTAATGTATGGATTCTATAACTTGATTTATATCTATAATGAATGTTTGTCTTATTGACAATGCAGCTGTTGGCTAGCTGTTAATGAAGGTTTTCTTTTACTTGAAAAACAAGTAATATTCATATATTATGCTGCTTTTGAATACTGTACACTTGTCTGAAGAAGTGAGGCGTTTACAGATGTTGCTGGATGCAGAGCTGAGCAAAGGTCAGACACAGTCAAGTCAACTGCAGTTAAAAGTGTTCCTTCTAACCTGAAAGTGCCAACTCTTAGGGAGAACAGCGGTAGTGAAACCTGTATCTAGATTTGGCTCTCACTGTCTGTAAGGAAGGAAAGAACTTCCCTCTACTGCTTGAAGAACAGTGGCCCCTCAGGGCTGGATCTAAGTCCGATCATGATTACTTGTTGCTACAGCTTAAATGGAAAACTTGATAGCTCTTTTAATACCTAACCTTTCCAAGCATCATTGTTGCTAAAGTGCCTTAGATGTGTTTTTCCTCCTTGTATCGATGCACTCTATTTTTAGTTTTTTAGTGGACATGCAGCCCTTTTTTGTTCACCTTTTTCATTCCATTAATTCTTTAAAAAAAAATAAATTTTAAAACCCAAAGCAACTGAACACCCCAAAACAAACTCTTCAAGTGCTGGGCAATGTGAAGCATTCTCAATGATAATACTGTATGTCAATGTTAACTTTAGAATTGGCTGTTTCTTCATTGCCAAATACAGTTTTAAAGCTGAGTGTGAGGATTAATTACTCTGAGATTAGACAATGTATAAATACATGGGTTTCTTTAGAATGTCTTACATCAAGTACAGATTTCCAAGTTGCTTTGATATTGAGCAAAACACTCACTGTAGCATCATAAAATTTGTTTTTCACAGCATCCCATTTTTAAAATAAGTTCTCTGGTTGTTGGCATCCACTACAACCTGTGCTTTGCAATAAGGCTTAGTAGCATGCTTTCACATGGCAGACTTTCAGATGAATATTGATAATTTGGAATGATATTCTATGTGCTTTATCTTAGTGTTATGTTGACAGTAAGTTAAAAATGTAGCCTTGGGAAAGTGCTTGCATATTGTAATTTTCTGTTCCCCAACTTCCTGACACTTAGATACTTAATTTGGGACTATTCTAATATATTTGATAGTTGATACTGTTCTTTTAAGCCTTACTTGTTGCAGTCTGTTTTTCTGTTTGGAAATATCATCAGTTCTCTGAAGAATTGAATTTGTGGAGGAAAGTAAAATAAACTTCTAAGTATGCTTGTATTTGTGGTTTTGTTTTTTTACTGCTAAGCACTGCTGGAAAATAAGCCATTGTCTATGTAATAAGACTGAATTTCTTTCTAAACAGGTGTCTGGAAAATGGAGAAAACTTTGAACAGAATTCATCCAGTTTCTGATCCAGAAGCAACCTATTTTCTACAAGTGTCATGGGAAAAAGATTTAGGCACTGGCTTTGGTATAATGCTGAGTGATGCTCAATGTGCATGGACTGGGACAGGTAATGGAAAAATTAAAAAAAAAAAAAAAAAAAAAAGATGTTATTGTTGCACTTTATTGATTTCAAGCACTTTATAAGCTCTGACCCACAACTTGTATAAAAAACTTATGGGCGTTAGCTCTCCCCAGTGATGGTGGAGACAAGGTTCATGATCTTCTGGGATCGGTTCAGAGATCTTTCAAATCTGGAAAAATTACATGTCCAACCTAATATTAATTCATTTATCATATGAATGTACAATGTTTTGTTCTTTCTCAAGTATATAATTTCTTGCAGTGATATTTGAGTACCACTTGTGTGTCTCCTGCAGATTCTTGAACAAATGTTATGCAAGTTCCATTTGCAAATTGTAGTTCATGAAGCATTAGTTGCAGATGTTTTTTTTTAATATGGTTTCATAAAAACTTCACAATTAAAGGCAGATGTATTTGGTACTCAGGTACATTTTTGAGAAGGAGGAGGGACAAAAAATATTTCCAAGCATAAGATATCAGAAGGAAAAAAAAAGCCTGTGGTATTTTTTTTTCCCCCATTCAGAAGATGGCTCTCTTCATATGAGCCTGCTTCTGCCATTCATACTTATTTGAAGAAAGCAAGATTTGTGTGTTTCATTAGAATTGTGGGAAATACTTGATCAAATGCCCTTCTCTTGGCAACAAAATTATTTTTAGGAAAGGAAAGAATGATATATTTTACAGTGTATTGTAAGCAATAACATTTTCCTGACTCCTTTTCTGAATTGTAAGAAGAGATGTCTATGTAGTTCCTTCCTTTTTTCTCTCTTCTTGGTGGACTTTTTTCTTCCCTGTTTCTACATGAGGCAAGCTTTCAAATAGGCCTGATATATCTGTGTATAAATATATATATGTGTGTGTGTATATACATATATAAAAAAATATTAATATAAAAGAGTGCTTTGTTTGCATATATATGTATGCCAACTACATATGTGCGTGTGTTTATATACTTAAAAAACAAGCTTAATCATTAATTACTCTTCTTTTGAATACAATTGTTAGTTTTTTCTTCCAGGCCTAGGAAACAAGATCAACTGACAATATGGCCGTATGCGTATTAAATCTGCTCTTCCATATTTCTTTTAACATTTCAAACACATTATTGATCAGGAATTCCTGCACAAGACACATACATATATTCCAATGCTAGTTCCCTGTAGTCTGGTATGAAGGATTTATCTTTCTTGATTTGACAAGGGGATAGCCAAACTATATATTTTCAAAATAATGAAAAGGATGTTAACCTTGATAAATACTTAAACAGAAAAACTGGTATGCTCAATTAGTTATAAGCTTTTCTGGTTGCTCTTATGTGACTTTAAAATCCCTAGCTAAAAAGTCACAAAAAGCTGATTCAAATGTGTTATTTTTCTAAGTAAAAGCTATGTTACTGTAACTAAAAGAATATAGAAAAAATACCTAAAGACAATTCTCATTTTGTTGACTTCCTGCATCTGGCAGAATAGCTGTATGATCACTTCCTAAAACAGAAGACCAGTGAATGCAAGATGACCTCATTCTATTAAAAGGAAAGAAAGAAACCCACACCAGTTTTGCATAAGCACTATGTACTAATCCAATTGAGACTACTTCTGTTTCTTCTGCAACAATCCTATCAGTTTCTTAGGAATACCTATTGAATTTGTAATCCTTTGAATAATTTAGAGTTTCAGTTCTTGTGCATGAGGCATTTCTAGTGCACAAATCTGTGTTTTCATACGCTCAGCATTGGTTTTGATCACTTTTTCTATTTTACAATATCATATTTGAGACTGCTTAGACTCTAAATTCAAAACCTGAGTGGAGGCAAAGCAGTGGTCAGGAAATTCTTGCTATGGGAAATCCCTTTTGGCTTTCTTATGGTGTGGGTTATTTTGCTTGGCAGGACCTACCAGGAAATGAATGAGAGTTGCTGATGCCGTTGTCTTTTATGGTTTTTGTATATTTAATGTGATGATGAAATTTCTTTTGAGTCCTATTCATTTGGTATTGAGTTAAAGAGCTAAGATACATGTATTTTTTGCATTTTATATTTCTCTTATGATTGACCAGTTCTGCTAGTTTTGTAGGATAGAGGAACATGCAGCATGTAAAGGTGAAAAAAACCCCACAGTGCTCTATTACAGTATTTTAGTATCTTTGTTTTTTTTAATCTTTCTTATTTTCATTAAAAATTAATCCAGTTTTTCTTGGTGTTCAAATCATTGTTCTAGACAAACATTCAATTTTGCAGGTATTTCTGACTTACTTTTTTTCTGCCTCTCTTTGCCTCTTACTACAAGGGATTCCACATTTCTCTGTGTACTGTTTTGAAGGATTTAAGTGAAATGCTGGTGTTATAAGTGGCTTTTTCTCTCTCAACTCTGTCTAGTGTTCCGTGCAAGAAATAAGGTAGTGAGGAAACAGTTTGTGGCTGCAGCCACAAAATAAAGTAGAAAAGTTTTAGTGGAAATTTTTTGCGTTTTCTTTCACTCTACTCTTGCTACAAATGTTATAGTGGATTGTTAGCTCTGCAAGATGAGAGTAGCTCTTCACTTGTTGGTAGACACAGGTTTTTTCCAGTCAGTAGTTCCACTCTGTCATTCTTTATATGAACTAGAAAGGGCAGCTTTCAGTTTAAGAAAAAAACCAACCAGATGCAGCTGGCAATTGTAGCAGTCTGACGCCTTTCTGATCACATGCATTTCATGCTTAAAATAAGTTTTATCTGTGTTCATTTGCATTTTGGGGCTGAGAGTTGAACACTTGAGGTAGGGAAGAGCTGGTAGTGTGTGCAGTGGCTTGTGTAAGTTTTCAGCCTCCATCTTTGTATCATAGTTTGTAACAATACCAAGAACTGTTCTGAAGTTGGTACCTGTCATTCTTAATTCATGAGGAATAGTGCATAACTGTCTTTGAATTAACAATTGCTCATTTGTAGATCTCTGTGTTTTCTGTAGCTTTGCTGTTGTTCATGACCCTGTACTCCAGCTGCAGATGTGTCGGGTGCATGAAGAAGGAGAGTGGTGCAGCAATACAGCTAAATAGTGCAGCTTTGCAAAGTCCTCTTTGTTGGACGAGTATTAGCTGGCTATATATGTGGCCCTCTGTCTTGGCCTCTCTCTATGTATTAGAAGAGGGTTTTGCATATTAGAAATAACATGGATCTGGTGTTCATGTAGTGAGAAAAGGACTGTTACACTTTCATCCATTTCTCAGTCTTTCTCTGTTCTGTGTTCCCTTTCATAAAGGAATTTTGAAACCTCAGCTTAGTGGAGAGGGTGGGCTGCTGTTTGCTTTTGCTGTGTTTAAATTTGTCTTTTCGGGTTATAGGGCTTAATTTGAAAAGTGTAACATCTTCTTCAAATGATGACACTAAAATATAAATGCTTTGAATCTTCAGTTTATTAGGTGTCACATAGTATTTGAGTGCCCTGAAGCTCATCAGTACTAAGCTGTATACAGTAACATTTATGTATGATGCCTGTTAAGTCTGCTGTGATGAGTAGCAGAATACAGTCTCCATTTTAGAACATGTGCTTTTACGAAGAGCACACATCTCAGGTTTACAGATCTCTAGGGACATACAGTTATAATATACTACAACCCTCCCTGGCCTTTTTTCCAAACCCCTCCATTTATTTATTGTTTTCCTCTTCTGCAATATAGATAGCAACATGTGAGGTTCTCCTATCTAGCCATGCTGCTTATGAAGTTATTTTATTTCTGATTTATTCCAATACATGTTCCACAACAATCTTACTTTTTTTTTAATGTATAATGACATTTCTGCAATTTCTGACAACTACTGAATGTTTGTGTGGTTGCAGATCTGGTAAATTGTTATGTATTGTGCCTTGTCCTTTTATGTTATATTAAGCTGTTATGAGTATGATAGGTTTCCTCTTGTGTATTTAAAATAACAGAGCAGCAGAAAATACTCAATTTTAACCATTGTTTCTTAATGAGAATATGGAGAACTTTGTGGCAGGCTTTAGACTGCCATAGGCCTGACATTTCACATCTTAGTGGAACAGAGACTGACTTGCTCATATTTATTGAGCTTAATTCCATTATTTTTCACCTTTTTTTTCCCCCTCTTATTATAACTTGAAAACAGTTTAGTTCCTTTGCATGCCATTGCTTTCTAGCTTTTGAAGGACCTGACACATTGGAATCTACATAGGAAAAAATGCCTTGTGCTAGAGGATAACTAATTTATTGTTTTATCTGAGTATATCTGCAGCTCTGGTTTTCCACAAAAGGTTTGGCTTCTCCTTGGGTCAACTGTGTGTTTCTTTGCAATAGTGACAATGCCGTGTTCTCTCTTGCCACCTGCATCTCCTTTTTCACCTGATTGCTCACCTGTGTTTTATAAACAGAATAATTGAGTGGGGTTTTAGTGACTGACCAGCCTTATCAGATTTTGCGGACATATGGTAATCACTTAAGGTGATTAGCAAGATAGCATTTCTTTTTTTGTGCACAAATAGTTGATGTATTTGTGAATAGGTGACCTAACTGATTGTTATGACCTGTTATTAAAAAAAGAAAAAAAAAAAGGCACAAAACGCCCACCAACAGTAAAACCTACCTCTTCACCCCCAGTTAAGTCTAAGATCAGTAAAGTGTACATCTTCTGTATTTTGACAGGTGTAGAAAAGAGGAGTACAAAAGGTAACACTTGTGAATAAGGAAGAGCTGGTTAGTTAAGTCAAAGCATTTGGCTGCAGTGACTATTAAGTTGATGGAGTTCAGGATGGTGAGAGGGGGGGAACAGAGTAAAAAGCAGAATAACAACTCTTTGACCTCTTCCAGGATCTTTTTAAAAGAATACCCTGGGATATGACTCCAGAGAGAAGAGAGACCCAGAAGAGATGGTTGATTTTTCAAGCATTATGTTTTCCAAACTCAACAATCGTAGAACCAGCAAGTCTGGAAAAGATCTTCAACATCATCAAGTCCAACTGTTTGCCCTGTAACCCTAACCTGTACTCCAGACCCCTCATCAGCCCAGTTGCCCTTCTCTGCACCCTTTCCAGCACCCCAATGTCCTTCCTATACTGAGATACCTGAATCTGCGCACAGTACTCCAGGTGCGGCCTCACCAAGGTCAAATAGAGGGGCAGGATCACCTCCCTGGTCCTGCTGGTCACACTATTCCTGGTGCAGGCCAGAATGCAGTTGGCCTTCTTGGCCATCTGGGCACACTGCTGGTTCATGTTCAGGCAGTTGTCAATCAACACCCCCAGGTCTGCTCTGCTGGGCAGCTCTCCAGCCACTCCTCCCCAGGCCTGTAGTGTTGCTTGTGGCTGAAGTGCAGGGCCTGATATCTGGCCTTATTGAAACTCATGCCATTGGCCTTGGCCCATTGATCAAGCCTATCCAGGTCCCTCTGCAGAGCCTCCCCTACCCTCAAGCAGATCGACGCTCCCGCCCAAATTATGTGCTGTCTGTGAACTCATCCTGCAAACAGGAAATTGAGCAAAGGTGACAGAATGTCTGCATGGATGAACAAGAAGGTTCTGGCTAAACTCGGACACTAAAAGCAAGCATACAAGCGAGGAAAGCCAGAGCTGGGTCATCAGGGAGTGATGCAGAGACAGTGACCAACCATGTAGGGATGGGGTTAGGAAAGCCAGAGCCCACCTGGAGCAGCATCTGGCAAGGAATGTGAAGGGCAACTAAGACTTTTGCAAGCTAGTCAGCAGCAAAAGGAAGATGAGGGAAAATGCAGGCCTGCTGCAAAATGGGGCAGGGAGACTGGTGACAAAGGACATGGAAAAGATCAAGGTGCCATTGCTCAGTACTTTCTTTGCCTGTGTCTTTGCTGGTTAAGGTTTCCCTTTAGAAATCTCAGGTCCCTCAGATCAGTGGGAAAGTGAGGAGCAAAGGAGGTTTACCATTGGAGGAGGATTAAATTAAAGATTATCTTAAGCTGAATGTACACAAGTATATGGGGCCTGTTTGGATAAGAGTGGCAGTACTGTGGGATCTGGCCCATGTAATTTTGAGACCATTCTTGATTGGTTTTGCAAGGTAATAGTAGACAGGGGAATATTTAAAGGTTTGGAAGAAATGCCTCTCCCATCTTAGGAAAGGGTAAGGGAATGGATCTGGGTAACTGGAGGAATAGCATTAGAGTAATAATCCTGGAAACCATTTTAAAAATATTAAGGATAAGGTGATGAGTAGTCAATATAGATTTATGAAGGGGAAATTGTGCCTGACTGACCCAATAACCTTCTGTAATGAAATTACTAGCTTGTTGAATGAGGAGAGGGCAGTGGATGTTGTTTGTTTTGGCTTTAGGTAGCAAAGCTTTCAACAACTGTGTCCTCTCACATGCACAGAGACTAACTGGTAAAGTATGGACTAGATGAATGAGCAGGTGAACAGTGGAATGGATTGAGCTATGCTAGTTCTATCAGATTTCATCAAGTTGTCATCAGTGGCATGAAGTCCAGCTGGAGGCCAGTTAATAATGGCTTTGCACCACAGAGGTCAGTACTGGGTCCACTACTGTTAACATCTTCATTAATCACTTGGATCAAGACACAGTGCATCCTCAGCATTATGCAAAACTGAGGGGCAGGCTTGATAGAGAATTAGGTTGCCATTCAGAGGAACCTGGATGAAATGTCCTCTCATGAAATTCAACAAAAGGAAATACAAAACTGTACCTGGGGAGGAATAAGCTCCAAGGCTTTTGTAGTGTTTTGGGTGACTGACTGCACACAGGTCCTTTATTGAGTGAGAGTCCTCGTGAGCAAGAAGTTGAAGATGAGACAGCTATGCAGCCTGTGGCAAAGAAGAACAACAGCCTCCTGGGCTGCATTGGGAAGACTTTTGTAGCAGGCCAGGTGAGATGATCCTTCTCCTCTGCTCAACCCTGGTGAGACCTCTGATGCAATGTCCAGCTTTAAGCTTTCTGGTGTGAAAAAAAAAGAGAATTTATGGAATTGAGTCCAGTGTCCATTTGTGAAAGTGACTGAAGGACTTGAACATTTGTTATGCTAGCAGAAGTTGAGAGAGCTGTGAGTTTGTCAGCCTGGAGGAGAGAAGGCTTAGGGAGATTTTTTTTCAATGTGTATTAAGTAACACCTGATGAAAGAGAGTAAAGAAGATGCAGCCAGACTCTTCTCAGTGATGTCCAGTGAAAGGTTGAGATGCAGCGGGCACAACTTCTTTACTGTAAGAATGACCAAGCACCAGAACAGATGTCCCAAAGAGGATGGGAAGCCTCAGTCCTTGGATATAGTGAAAACCCATTCAAAACATGCCCCTGAACAACTTTTGTAGTTGACCCTTCTTTGATCAGAGGAGTTGGACTAGATCATCTCCAGAGGTCCATTCCAACCTCAACCACTCTTCAGTCTGGGAAAACGAGATATAATTGCTGAAGAGGCAGAATTAATCCAGAAGTCCTGAAGTACCTGAGGATATAACTATTCATAGCAAGTTATTATGCATTTACCTCTGCTGTGTTTTTGTATGATGTGTTGATTTGACACAGTTGACACTTTCCTCCTTTGCAATATGAAGTTAGCTGCTGTGTCAAGAAGACTGGAGGAAAAGGAGGCAATCTGAACAGACTTATGTTTGACTGAAATGCTTTTCTGTTTCTGTCAGTATTATTTCAATACATGTGCAGGCTTGTCTCTGAAAGGTGTTTGTACAGAGAAGAAACAGAGTTTTTAAGAGGCATACTTTAGGTTACTTGCAGTTCTGTGGTGGATGTGTTTTGGGTCTTTTTTGTTGGTTTTTGGGTTGATTTTTGCTATGTGAATTGGGTTTTTCTATTGTTTGAGGGTTTTTTGGGGGGGATTTTTTTCAGGCTGTCACAAACAAATGTCTTTTGCATATCTTGCTCTCTCAAATGCTGGGCAAATGCAAGAAAGGTCTAAGATCAAGAAGGAGTAAATGACTGTCTAGTCTTCTGCAGAAGATTGGTCAGAAGAAAAAGAAGCACTTCTATGAAGTAAAAATGTAAAATACTGTATTGGTAGAATACACATTAAAGCCTGCAATACATTGTACACATCCAATCATAATTTTATTTTGGAGTCTTCACTTTTATCTGTCTGTGCAAGAAACAGAGTGTGTAGAATAACATAAAAAGGAAGGAAAATAACCAGAGGCCCAGGAGCTAAAACCAAGAACTGTTTCTTGCTTCTCCTAGTGAAGATGACGAGTCTCGATAAGCTGCTATTTCAGTTTGACTGTTAGCCAAAAGAATATTTAGGGAGAAATAGATTATCCGAAGCAGACAATATAAGCTATCATGGTTCATAACAACAGTACAACTTTTATGGGCCTATTCTGTCCATATTCAACCATTTGTCATCAAAGCAATGGAATAAATTTTTCTTCCTAGACTTAATGTGATGCAAAATGGAGACACATCCCCCATTTAGTGGTCCTTGAATGGGAATGGTAAAACATGGATTCCCGAGTCCCTACATGTAGCTTCATTTGTAAATTAACGGTTTATTTTTTTTTATATAAGGTAGTGAGTTAGAAACTTGGAAAACTGGATCAAGAATGTGTGAGGAGACAGTTGCATTTGTTGTCTTACAGGGCTTAGATTACATAGTTTCAAAGAGAACTGAAAGGGCACAATAAATCATAGTGAAAACATTCAACTCTTTGTTGCAAGGTTAGTGCTAGAATGACTTCAGGCAAGTAGAATTGTGGACTAGTAGCAATAAACCATGTTCAGACATGGAAAAAAAGAGACACAATTTTAATGAAAACACAGTATTCCTGCTACATCTTTTTTAGCATCTGGCATAGTAGTGTACGTGACAGAAAAGGAATGTCCTAATACTTGCCTCCTCCTTGAAGTCTGTGAATGTGTGTCTGTGTGTACATATGTGTGTGAACACGTATATATAGTAATATGTGTATTTATTTCTCACATGTTTCTTTCTGATAGTGTCTGAAGCTGAAATTTCTAGGGAGGCTGCTGACATGGAAATGAATAGAGAGAAGTATGTTGAAGAACTGAAGAAAGCGTTGATAGCAGGAGAAGAATCAGCTGGCAAATATAACTTTGCTATTTCGAGAGATGAAGGAAATATGGAGTGTCTCTTCTCATATGAAAGAAATCTGAAAGATGGCTCTGTAAGTATAGTTAACTGTTTAAATTTGACTGTTCAGCTATGAGAAGGACCTTCTTAGTTCACGTCTGTATTTTATTAGGTTTTTTAAAATCAAACAGATCTGTGATACATGTTTCAAATTGAATGAATATTGTGAACTCAGCCATGGGCCAAACTATAAACAAATTTGTGGTTTCCTATCAAAACCTGGTATCAGTAGAACTATATTACTTTCTTAAATGCTACTGAATAGTACTTCTCCAAGTTTTGGATTAGTGTAGTTATAGAATGAGGGGTAATGGTTTCAAACTGAAACAAGATATATTTACATTCATTATTGGGAAGAAACTATTTCTTGTGAGGGTGGTGAGAAACTGGCCCAGGTTGCCCTGAAAAACTGTGGTTGCCCCATCCCCTGAGGTGTTCAAGGCCAGGTTGGATGGGGCTTGGAGCAACCTGGTCTAGTGGAAAGTGTCCCTGCTCATGCAAGAGGTTTGGAGCTAGGTGATTTTTAAGGTCCCTTCAAACCCAAACCATTCCATGATTCTATGATTTATGTTTTGTTTGTATTAAGCAGATTTGCCTCCACCTTGGAGTTGCAGTTTGCTGTTACGCTGTTACATTCCATAATCTGTAACTTTCTTTTCAATTCCTAACTTGGGAGGTTGGAACTTTCCTTTTTGAAATTTCTGCTTTACATGCTTCTTCTTTCTTCTCTCTACTTACCTAAATAAAGAAAAATATTAAAATTTAAGAAAGATTATTTTCAAATGCTAAAACATACTTTTAAAATTAGCCCTTTTATTATTTTAAATATTTTTGGAAGCTAACACTAAAATTGTTTCTTGCTTGGAAAAGTGTTCAGTTATAACTGAGAGTGTGGTTCTCTGTTGGTTTCTTGGCTACAAAGAAGAAGACAAACTTAAAGCAAGAAAGAAACCAGTACACTCTATCTGTAAACACTTTTGGCTATATCAGAGTGGGGTTTGGTGTTAAAGCTTTTCTAGGGAAAAGCTAGCAAGGTAATCATCCTTTCTTGTACATTTTAATATTTTGTTTTTCTTTCCCTCTAAAAATTAATGCTCTGCCTTTCCCCAAGTTTGTCACAACTTCAGTTGTGCTAAGATAGAAGTTGGACAGACTGACCACTCAGTTACATTAGTGAAATGATTTGTTTTTAAAAAGCACTTGTTTAAAATTGTGCTGATGCAGTTCAGGGCACAGTTCTGCAATGAGTTTCACTGGTTTCACTAGCATTATTGTGTGGAAGAACGTTGTGGGGAGAGAATGGAGATGAGATTGCAGATGGGGAAGAGTAGGAAGGTCTTTGGCCACCATTTTTTATTTGTTTTTTTCATGGGGAAAAAATCTAGCAGAGTTGTGTCCAGATGCAAAGTTTTCAAGGATTGTCTTGCCTCCTTTATTTTGAAGCAGGTGTCTGACTTAAAATGACAAACCAAACTAAAAGAAGGTGACTACCTTCTCTGGGATCTGTCAGTTGGAAATGGAAGGTGGAAATACTTTTTTCCTCTAAATTGGAAATAGGCAAAGAATGGGGAAATGGCAAAGTATAGGGATTGAATCTCAAACTTGACTGCGTGTATAGTTCATATATGTGTGTCACACTAGATAAGATGAGGAAAAATTCACTTAAAAGAATTACGGGACATTTATATTACCTAATCAGTGGCAACTCACTTAGATACTTGCGGTCAGTTTTGACTTCATTTAGGTAATCAGAGAAAGAGACATTCAGTGAAATGAAGTTCTACTTTTTAAGAGTACCTCATTATAGACCTTTTTCCTTGTACAATACAGGAAAGTTCAACAAAATTTGGCTGAGGTGCCAAAAGCTGTGTGGTGTAGGTCTTCCACTCTGCATTATCAATATTTCTGTGTATTTACCCAAGGTCTTATGGGCTTTATACCCCCTTCTTGACACTTCTTGTGAGCACACAGTGCTGAGTGCTGTTCACAAAGGGTCTAGGTCAAAAGTACTGTATTACAGGAGGATTATAAGGTTAAGACTGACTATTACTCAGAAAATAAGATCCTGTTTTTCTTGTCTGTGTCACACATAATGTGTTGTAAATACCAGCCAGATGAAATACATGCTGTTTTTTTATTAAGTGAAAATATATTCATATAAGGGTCCACCTTATACAGGTTTCCATCAGTTAAGGCTTATGGGAAATAAAATTAATATGAAAATGTCTTTATATCAATATGGGAAAATAATAATCTGGCCAAAGAAAGTGAAGATACAAAGTATCCTAATTGCTATGCTTACTTTTAACTTTGTCTGTCAAAAGAGTGTTTTTAATAGAGATCTAATTTTGGGGGTGAAAACACACCTTTTTCCTCCTATACTAAACTAATGCCTACAAATATAGTTGCCAAAGCCTTTATAAGAATTACAGATAGATTTCATATGTATAATAAAATATGTTTCTTACGTTTTGCAAATTATTTGTGGAAGTGTTTCTGGCATGTAGCTTTCACCATCAAATTAGGAAATTTCTTTTCCAGGGCTCTGTACATTCAAAAGGCTGAGATTCAGCTAAATGTATATTTGCTGCAGAGGAAAGCTAGAGAAAGGACTCGGCAACTTAAACATGACTAAAATTCAGTGTTATCTGTTTTATCAGTACTTATTTTTCTTACGAGGTATTTGTCTTTATGTCTTTTATTTAGTTGTTGGGAATATTTTGTCTTTCTCTTTTCATGTTTCAGCAACTGTGTATGTACACAAATTAAAATCTTAGCAGTTTTGTGAAGAAAGTTGTGGGGCTGGGATGAGGGTGGAAAGACCATAGGCTGGGATGACACTTGTGAGCCAGAGCTCTATATTGAGGACCATGGAGACCTGCAACAATTTAAGGGAGTCTAAGAAGGCAGACTGCATCCAGATGTCAAATCCCTTTGACAGTTTTTTGTATAGCTTTTGGCATCAGCATGAGTAACAATCAGGGGAGTAATTTACAGCAAAAGTGTAAGAGTCATTCATAAGATTACAGTTTACAATATAATTCACCTCTTGCTTTGTTGATGAACAGGTAGGTTCTTTCCATTAACTGACATCTACTACTCAAATTAGGTTCTTAAAAGCAAATGCTTGCAACTACTCCAACACTATTCTGGTTGGTTGAAACCAAATGTATTTTTCCAAATGACTTAAAAAGTGTTTAGAGTGATTAACATATAATAATGATATATATGTAAGATTCATGTTGTGAATTAATCTACTTAGATGCTGTTGCTTTCATTGAATCAATGAAAAAATTTCCCAAGTCACAAATAAGTAATACCTGATTAGAGAAGTTATCTTCTTAAAATGTTTATTTGCCAGTGTCATAGTTGCATGTAATTTTTTAAAGTATCAGAATAAGATTAATAATCTCATTTAAGGCAAGTCTGTAAGTATGGTCACACTTTTTTATTTAACATTTTGAAATGCTGATCAAAAAAAGATTAAATGCTGTCTGAGTTTTATAAATACTTGTTCTAACTATATGTCAGCTTGAGGTAGATGAGCCTAAAAACGTAAGCCTTTAAAAATTCTGATGTGTTTTGTGATTTATCTTCCTAATGACAGGTGGCTTTGCTGCAGGGCGTTCAGCACTCTGCCCTTAGGAACTGGTTTTAGGGTGGTGAGGGCAAAGTAGACTGTTAAGAGTCACATTAAAATAACAATGGGTTCGGTATACAGTGGGACTTGTGTGTCAAGCCAGCTGCAGTGCGAAATGGGCCACACACACAGAGATCTCAGTAAGGGGCCATTGAGGCTGGGCCAGCTAAACTGCTGCCACCTAAACAAACACCATCACAGAGTCAGTGATTTAATGCTTGATCTAAGTAGGTGACCACTTGGAAGTAAATCTTTCCGAGTACTTTAGCGAGTCACTCCATGTACAATAAATAATGGAAATCCGGCAAGATTATTTTTCGTACTGGCAATTAAATTGATTAAATAGCCTTTGATAAACAATTATTTGAGTGCAAGCAGTCTTCTTTTTAATAGTAATGTGACAGGCTCTGGTTATCTTCTTCCCTTTTCTGTAAATTTGTAAACAGGGAGGATATGAGCCTCAGAAATTCTACCTTAGATACAGTATTGTTGCTAATTAGGCTGATGGAAGAGATGCTGTTATTTGTCTCTTCCGTTTCCTGTGGCTGTTTTGCCGTGGTCTGTTCTGTCAGTTCATTATGAGTTTACAACAGGTTAACAATAGTTGGAGAAATCCGTGCTAACCAAAACTTTTCACAGCAAGCTGAATGACTGAAGTAGGATTGTTAGAGCTTTTTATGCTGTCCAAACTGTCTTGGTTCAAGGTTTAAATAGTTACTTTGCTCCAAACCGCTGAGGTTATTTTGTTTGGATAACAAAGGTCACTAAGAGTTCAAATTGTTTCCCAGGCAATACAACTAACTGCTCAACTGGAAAGATGAAATGATTAATTTTTAGGTCAATGTAAAAGCAATTACTCTTCGGTATCATTTATCTCTGTGTACTTCAGGATTTAAGAGTGTACACTTGAATGAGTTTATCGGAAGCCAGGTTTAGAAATTACTTACTAATGTGCCTTATATAATAAAAGCCTTAAGTATTATCTTTTGCATGATCTCAGACTTCTAAGTGCTACATGATTTTCCCTGTTTCACCTGACGTGTGTGTGAATTTATGAACTCTTCAGGTCTTGTAGGTACATTTTTTTAATGCAGTTCATCACTTCCTAAGAAAAGCTCTTTTTTTTAAAAAAAAAAAAAATAATTTTCCCAACGTGTACTAGTATGTGTCAATATTTGACAAATTTTCTGGATAATTAGGTTAATGCAATTTTTGTTGTTTAGCTCTTTGATTGTAATAAGCTATTTGATTGTTCAGCTATTTGATTGCTGCTTCAAGTAGCAATGGTTTGGAGAATTGTTGGGGTGAAGTACATTTTAAAATACTGTTAGTATATACCTTAAAATTGAGGGACTGTTAAAAAAGGAAGAATCAAACACTGCAACAAGTAATTC